TTAAATGTCAGGTATGGCAATAGCTTTTAATGCTCTGATTTAAAGAGATGATTTGTACCCATGTCAGGTAGCATTTTTTGCTTAATTGTAGTTGTTTTGAAGAACAGAGGTTTCTGCGTGCCTACTATTCCGAACAATTTGTCCATTCACATTTGGCTCGTGCTCATATTACTGCTGGCTACAATGTTTCATGGATTTTTTTGATTTATATTTATTAGTGTGTTTATATTGAATTTGGTGAAGATCCGATAATGTTTGCCTGAAATATGGACTCTGGCTTAGGGTTCACTCTACAAGCTGCAGTTATATATAGATTCTTTTATTTCTTATTGTGTGTGTCACTATCATTATGAAGATGATCCCTAGCGAATTTGATGAAGATTTGATAATTGTCTCTCAGAGATATGGACTCGAGACTTAGCATATTCATTCCAATAGCAGTACATGTATGTACAAACTCTCATTCAATAGGCTACAATTATTTATACGTTATTTTGATTTTAATGCTGTGAAGCATTGAATTTGTGCCAAGAGATGGTGACATAAAAGTATTAATTTTCAGCATTGTCCATCTCAATTTCTTGTTATGGCTGAGTAGTTAGTATCACATTTTTTCAAATTTGTTTTGAAGCATTGGGACTATGTCTTGTGTGTTCCATCCATTCAGCAGCCTGGGCATCAACAATTTTCAGCTTCTCTGTGCATGCATCCATCTGTTAAATATGGTAAAAAATGCTAAATTTTGTTAGAACTTTTAGCTGCCATGTTGGTGTTTTGAGAGAATTAATCTGTGGTGTTTTAATACAATCATGGTATAATCATCATTCTGACATGTTATTGTCCTGATCTAATGTTGTTACCTTCAGCATTAAAGATTAAAGTGTACATGTACAGTAAACCTCGCATAAGTCAGATTCGTATAAGTCGGATCTTTGCTCAACTTGGATAAAATCGTTTGGACCCTTTGATCCTGCACGTTTTTCGGTCCATTTGATCTAATTTCGGCTTTTTTCCTTCGCCTAAGTCAGATTGGCAGTATGTTCACAACATGCTGTTAATAATACGCCCCCTCCCCCCTCTGCCAAACAGCCTGGCTGATGCCATTGAAATTCAAATACAGGGCAGAGCACAAATTTGCGCTACTCGGCCATATAAGACGAAACAAAATTGGAATTTTTGAAAAAATTCGATTGTAATTGGGCTAGGCAAAGTAATAATTCAATGAAGTTTCCCAGCTTTTCAATGATTCTAATTTTTCCCCACCCCAGCTTACCTAAATTTCGTTACGTCTTATATGGCCAAGCAGATTAAATAAATGCAATTAAATTTGCAGTTTTTGTGTGTAAAAGCAATTAAAAACATATAAACTTGAGATTCTGCAAAATGTGGTCATAATCTTTGGAAGAATATATCTAGCTAAAATAAGCCAAAAATTGAAAACTCTGCTTTATCCCCTACTTGCTGCTTTACCCCCCACAATCTCCTTGAACCAGAAAATAGTTTACCAGAGTGAGAAAAATTTAATTTGAAGTAAACTTAAATACTGGTCTAGATCGCTAGAAAATAATAGTTTGTATACTATACATAGTCCTACTTTTATCTTTAATCCTAAATAAAATGCATGTATGCTAGTGTCTTATCTAATGCCAAATTTGACATTTAAAGCATAACTATATAAGCTTGCTGTGTGTGTTCCTAATCCTAAGTTAGATAAAACTTTTCATACATTAGAACCTCAAATTGCCATGAAACAGGTAGAAACTCTGAAACAAATGTTTTACTGTTATCTTAAGGAACCTACTTTGGAAATCTGTGACATTTTGAAAGTGAGATTTTAGTTTTCAATTTTGATCTTTTATTAAAATTTATGTCTTTTGTTTGCATTTTTAATATCATTTACTGAGACAAAGGAAATGAAAAGGGTTAAAGATCTACATATGTTCTTTCTCTATGAACTAATACTTTTTATACACCCAAATTTAAAGTGGATACTTCTATTATCGTGGATTCCATATGTCATTTCATCTGCACTTACCTGTAAACACACCCTGGGGTCTATATTGTTCCTGTATGAGACCTGAAATCTATATTGTTCCTGTATGGGATCTGGAATCTATGTTGTTTCTGTATGAGATCTGGAACCTGTATTGTTCCTGTATGAAATCTGGAACCAGCATGGGCGTGAATTTAAGGGGGGACGAGAGGGGGGGAACATGACCCCCCCTTAGAATCGGAAGGGGGACGAATAGGTCTCTGTCCCCCCCCCCCCATGATTTTGATCGCCAGGACAGATTTTGATGTTTATATCCACATGATGGTGAGCTTGTTTCTACGTATCTGGAGCTGAATCTGAATCGGGACTTAGAACAAGAATTGCCATTCTTCAAGCCCCATTTTTCAGCCAAATCTATTTCACTTGTGCACCTGAAGTGAGGCAGACGTTCCCTGTCAAAGCTCTTCTCATCTCATCTTGGACGATTCACTTGACTTCATGAACAATCAGTATTTATGCAGCTTTGATGTAGGTAGTCAATTTTTCCATATTGTCATCATACATGCATTACCCCTAGTTACAGCCTTCATCGAAATAACACTGGTACAGTAAACTGTTCGTAACTGTTTATTTCGTTTGGTAATGAAATGTTCCTGATTCCAGGAAAGTTATGACAAATCCACTCCCTTGGGAACCAGTATGATATGAGATTGATTGATTTGAATGCAATTTATTTGCAAAGTTATTTCTCATTTAAATTAGTTTTTCTTAAAATATTGTAAAAAAGCATGTGGACTTTTGTGTACCGGTATGTCAGTTGTGCTCAACTTTAAGCAGACTAACAGAATGATTTATTTTTTTTAATGCAGATAATATATTTCCACAGACTATAAGTGGATATATTGATCCAGATCGGCAGATTATGGCATGTCATAGTACCACCAAGTTGTTGGCTGATGGAATTACTAGTAAAGTACATTGCACACTGGCTATAATTTATCAGTAGCTAATAATATTGATTGGGTCCTTTTTGAAATTAAAATGTCTGGGTTGATTTTAAGCTTCCCAGAAGTCTTACCTCTTAATGGCAATAAAAGTTGTGAGCAAAATATTTATTTCAAATTTACAGTAATGTGAACAATTTGTTTCTGGTGAGCTTGCGATATGATTGGTGATATTATCTCACGAATATTCACGTTCAAAGAGTTTCTCAAGGTTATAAGAACTTATTTATTTGATGTCAATTAAACTTAATACAATTTTGTCATATTTTGCACTGTATAATGAATATATTCATTCATGGAAACCAACTAATATTTAAAAGCATAGAAAGAGATAAAAGTTACAACAGGTTGACTAAAGAACAAAGTACCAATCAAAGCCCATGATACAAGAATCTTTTATTGAGACATTTGATTAGTTATCTAATCAAGGTCAACAACTGTATTATTATGCTGTCATCACAGGACCAAAACTTTTCTTTAACATGTCTTTAGATGTTAACAGATTGTCGATCCGAATAAACAGCTGAAAAGTAAAATTTGGTTTTAGTTAAATTGGCTTATCCTCATACTTCTCTATCTTTGCAAAAGTAATAATCATGTCAGTAATGACTCTGAGTCATATCTATTTTGTTAAAAGTACATGTAGGTAATTAAATATAGTGTATGTATGTTGAAGTAAGTTGTTACATTTACTTATGAATATATGTTACATAATATATGTTAGTGTGTTAGTTTTCACCTACAAGATGAGTCACAACGAGAAAATGCCATAGACTACCAGGAATAGCAGTTATTTAAAACACTTATGTCTCTTTATCTGTGTAATCTAAGTAGGGATAGAATGAGATCATTTCAAGGACTTTTAAAAAAATATAAACACATGAAAGATCAGATTGGAACACTGCAACCCAGTTTCTTTGTTTTTGGAAAGTCTATTTCAATTGAGGTTTTATTACACTTACAAAGTTTCATCATTGTGTCCATTTAACAATTATACATGTACATCATATATCATAACAAAAATTTATTATCACAAATATATTTTCAAGGACAAAAAAAAAAGATAAACACGTTGAAAGTGAGGATTGCAACCAAATTTTTTAGTTTTCACGAAGAAAGGATAGATCATTTATATCTGCCACACAAATCCTTATTACATAAGCAAAGTTTCAACATTATATCTGTCCATCAAAGATACATCATTACATAGATACATTACTAGGAGGATTAATTCAAGGACTCCAAAGATAATCACATCATTTCAAACTATCATCATCACACCATTTTATCACAAAGATCCTAGTGTTATCACAAAATTCCTGGTGTTGTCACAAAGATCATGTCATTATCACAAAGTTCCTGGCTTTTTCACAAAGATTCTGGTATTATTACATAAATATATAGGGTACATGTATTTGAACAGGACAGATGTAGCCCACTTAAATATATACATACATGTATTGTCAATAAGAGAGAAAGAGAGAGAGATAGAAAAATGGGGTTTATCGTCCATTTCGGGACTAACACATGGTTCAATTTTATTTCAACAATCCGCTTGCGCATAGGGGTCTTTAGCAGTGGGAGGAAACCGGAGGCCAAGTAGAACACCAACAAGGTTGGACAGGCGACCCTACTCTTTGCTATGTACAACCGGGGAATTGAAACCACGCCAGTTGACTCAATGACAGACCTTATGATACAGTGCGCACATGCTAACCATTCGGCCATCCAACCCCCCTGAAATATATACCTCCCACCTGAATCAAACAGTTTCTTGTAATGAGCATATCTTACAGTAAAATTAATTAGTCCCAAGTTAGTTTTCTGGCACAATATAGCCCGGGTTGGTGCTGATACGCCATTAAACACAATTCCATTTCCATGTTAGTTATCAAAAGTGATAACAATAAAAGTGATAACAAAATTAGCAACCACTGTACTACTGTAGCCATATTTTTCTACATATACTCTTATGATTATCGAAGACTGTATTTTATTTTCAGATACAAGAAATTAACAGCCACAATTCGACAATTAGCAAAGAAAATCAAAGCCCTTGATGTTAAAGATCCTTTTAGAATAGAATCCAGTTCACAGTTACTAGAGAAATTGTAAGTACATTATGAAAATATAATTTGGGATATATTGAGACTAAATTAATATGACACAATATATTGCTGTTTTGCCGTGGCCATGGCATTTTCTATGAAGTGGACGAACAAACGAAATGGCCACGGCTCAGATTATGCTTTAGACTTCAAATAGGTAACGTTGATATTATTGCGGATGTCTTGGAACACCAAGTGGGACGTTGAGAAATACCCCCGATCACTACAATATTATCGAATATAACAAAATGCTACAAAATGATATGTTTGCAGAATTTATATCAATGATTTGAGTCTTAAGAATTTTCATTGTAATAGCGAGTTTCAGTGATGGCCAAATTTACGGATGCAAGTATACTAACAAACACTGAGATTTTATTAAGAGGTCCTTCCCATTAAATGGTCAGTCATGAAAATTCCCTTGAGTGGCTGCTTAATACAGATTCAGAATCTACTGTACTTGATTTCAAACGAACATGCAAACATTGGATTCCGAAGAAATTAAAATTAGCCATTTATAGTCAGTATAGAATGATATTTTTGTTGTGTGTGGTCATAATTCTAATTGAGTATTATTCTAGCATGTTGGGTCTTTAGAACATACATTTTATAAAGCATGTGACACCAACATTATATTTAATATACACCTTCATTGCATACATGTATACATTATACATAACCTACTTTATTTAGATGTACATATTTAGTTAAGGATTAGAGTACCAGTAATGCAATTTTTAAAAAAAGGTGCAAAAGCTTCTTGAACTTTCTCACATTAAAGATACATTGTCCGAAAGTATTTATCGGTTGGTTATTTCCAATAAAAGTATGGCAAATTTGGTATATATTGAATGTATAGACACCCAATCTTACTAGAAAAATACTGGATTACCCGAAAACACCTATGGGGCAAGCACTGGGCAAAAATGTCAGGGTATCAGTAACTGGCAACCTGACTGTTGTCTGCCAGCTTATTGTGTGCAAGCTTGACTGAGGGAGCGGTTGTTATTTCTTGAACAAATGGTTAGGAGGTTTTGGGAAAATTTAGGGGTGTCTGTACAAACAGCAGATAAAGAAGTAGACTGAAAATACTTGAGAACTTAGTTAGGCCTCAATATGTATGGTAAATGGACAGTAAGCAATGAAATATACATGTACATTCTGAAAAATGGACCCTCACTCAAAGAAGCGAAATGACAGACATGGTCTCTAACATCAGTTTATTTATTTCTTGAGGAATCTCTCAGCGTATACAAAGGTTTGAGAGGGATTTGAAGCAAATTTTTGATGGGTTAATATGTTTGAATATGTTTTTAGTCCAAATATATCATGAAACCACACAGTTTGTACGTGGGAAAGTACATGCATCTTTAAATATTAGTTAATAGATGCTCAAATACTTATCAAGGGTATGTAAAAAAATATTTCTTGTAAGTAGACAATATGATACTGCATCATATCTTTTTATAAATAGAAACCCTTTCATAATCACTGACCCCTAGATACCAACGAGATATTTTCTCACTATGCCTAGCCATGTAACCAAGCATTTTCACATTGGCGTCTTGTAGACTTTCCCAGGTATATAAAAGGTTTAAAAAACAGTAATGGAAGATGCATTTTTCTGGTTGAGTAAATCTCTTATGTGAGGTTTGTGTATTTAAAAGTTGCACCACCTTATTACAGATGAAGCAATTACTGTTATATGACTCAGCTTTGTGGTCTTTTCTTAGATGCATAGAAGTCTTTCAAAATGTCTTGTTTGTCTAGTGCCCCACTTTTCTACACCAACTGATAGATGAATGAAAATGGTGGAATTTGTAATTAAAATTAAAATTAGAATAAATTAAAAATGTTAGTAATTAAATTAAGAATTAGAAAATTGGAATTAGATATCGGCAAAATCAATATTAAAGAATCACAAAATTGAACTAAAAATAAAATAAATTTAAAACTCCAAATAAATTATTAAAATTAGAAATTCAAAATTCAAAATTAAAATTAGAAAATGGAATTAGAAATTAAAATTAGAAAATGGAATTCAAAATTAAAATATTTTCCATTATGAGATGGCATCCAAAAATGATGGCATCCAAAAAATCTTCTCACTTGAAATATAAACTGTTTCTATATCGCTATTAAGAAATCTGTTTTTACAGTGAAATACAACAAAGTAGATTGTATGTTTTGCCTTTCAAAAATAAAATTGTGGCTTTAATTGAATTTTATATACCGGTATATTGATTTGTTTTGTGGGATGACAATCTGTCTTTGGTTTAAAAATTTACATCTGTAGATAAAGTCAGTGTTGAGTTATACATGGTTAACCAAGGTTATGTTCCATTGTCAAGCACAATCAGCCAATATTTAAACTAAAATTAGTAAATAAGCTTACTTCCGCTTAATATTTCCATAACTAATCAAAATAATACATCAGATCAATCCAATTCAATACTTTTTTTTTTACGTTATTTTACCACCTATAGATATTTGCATTTTCTCTGCAGAAAAAGACAACAGCTCTCAGCTCTGTATCAGGAATTGACCTGGAAAGTGAAAACACTGGTTAAAACTTACAAAATGTTATATAGACTTTCAATCATTAATAAAATCCTCCAAATTTCTCTGAGTTATAAAAGATTCTATTCTATAACAGTATTTTAATGTAGTGTCCCAACATTCAATTTGCTTCCGCAACCTATTGGAAAACTAATAGCCCTGTTCCATTTTGAACTTAAATTCATGAGCTGGAAACGCAATTTGGGTTATTCAGAAACTGTAACAATTGCCTAAACATAACATTTATTTGAAAAGAAATCCAGGTTTCTAAATTAGTAATCACTGTCTTTGTAATACAATATAGATTTAACATTATAAAATGCACTTACTGTACATGTTAGAGCCATGTATACATAGTTTGTGAGAACAATTACCTATCTAATTTATCGTTAAACCATTTAAAATACCTTGACAGTGAGTCATTGTAGATGTTGGGGGTTTTTATGTCAAAGCTTGTGTAATCGGTTTTTTTTTGTTTAGGTCCAAATGCATATTGTATTATTTTTGGTGAAAAAGTTAATGCAACCCAGTAAAAAGTAGATGTTATTTTAGTTTAAAAAAACCCAATCCAATATCTGGATAATAAAAGTCTTTTGAAAGATTTTGCTGTATCACAGGTTTTTATTAGATTAATCAGCCAATGACATACCTTATTAAGAAATGTCTATAAACCAAAATGAAATGGAGTAAACAAATGGAAAATAAAAATTGGGAAAGAAATGCTATAATTTTAATTAAAATAATTATAAGGGTGGGATGTCGTACATGGCTACATTACAACCCTGTTGAAATTGTATATGGTGCAAAAGTAAACGATATGCATATTCGCGGTTGCAAACATTAATAAAAATGTAAATTGTTCACAATGCAAATCATAGTTCCATTATATAATTTACCATTTGAGGCTGTTCCAGACTTAAAGCTTGGCGATATTTCAATGCAGTATAAAAGCTGTCAAAATGGCTGGTTCTTTCAGATTGTAATTTTACTTTGGGCTGACAATAATATGATCGAATCTTTTGTTGGTGTGGAACATTTAACAATATCCTTCTGAAAATTACGCTAATCAACAAAAAACAACTTATGGTACCATTTCTATAATCTTCTAATTAAATTCTCTTTGCTCTCTAAGTGGTTTTTCGGGTTGTCTTTTCTTATGGAAATCCTTTCATCTTGGTTTAACAAGAGAGGCAGGATCCAGTACAATACCCGCAGCTTTATGACTGGTGATTTCCCTCTTCGCACCTTAACGCTTTTTTTCCCTTTTTGACACACGCTTGCCCATTGTTTGCCAGATCACATGTTAGGCTGTGTTCTCTTAATCCCTTTCTGATTTGTTTGATATTCCAGGCGAATATATTTTTGATAGACATGCTTAGACAGGCTGAATTCAAAATGTTGAAAAAACAAACAAATAAAATGGTATCCTCTTAATAAGAATTATAGCTTTAGAGTGACAGAAACTCATTGGTGATGACAAAATGTTGTCACAGTGTCGTGTCCATGCTGCAGACATATTTATTGTCCATCCATCTTTGTCCAGTTTATTTAACCCCAGCAAACAATGTTGCTTTTTATTAAGTAATCTGCTCCTCCCATACATCTGTTCACATCAAGATTAAAACAAATTTCATATCAGGCTCTCAGAATTGGACACACAATTCTTGAAAATCACAAGATGTAACTGAAAAATAATTTTTCAAGCTCAAGAAATATTATCTGCTAAAATATAGCCCAAACTTTTGATTGATACACGTTGATGTTGATTGGCATAGTCAAGTTGCGATTACTGCAAAGTTGATTGGTTGAGAATCAGTACTACAATCTTGAGATGAGATACAAAGGGAATAATAAAGCAACATATTAAAATTAAATTGTAATAGACATCTAAGTTACATGTCCTGTACACCATATATACCTTAGGTGATATAGGTGAGCTTAAACTAAATGACCACAACTATGTACATGTATTTAACTTTTGTTTTCTTGTCTATTATACGACGTGTCTCTCATAATTTATTGTACGGCTTGCGTAAATCTAGTTTAAACAGACCATTTCATTGGCTAGTCCTGCACAACTATCTCAAGCTCTATGGTACTTTTTTGAAATATATACTTGCTGAAAGTTATAGTAGTAAGTCATTGTCATGTTTATCTGGTCTCTCCAGCAATTGATGTTAAAAAGGATGTTAAGAAAGTGGTTGAGATGCCGTTAAGCCTCATTTCTCTGTCTCTATTACGAAAATCTAGCAATCAATTGATTTGAAATTTCAAACAAGTTAAATAGACCATATCAACACATTCTGGCATTTTCATACTTAAACACACTTTTGTTTAATGTGTCATATTAAATTTGGAGATTGCCCCTTTAAACAGTGTGTTATTTTATTCCATTGAATAGTAGAAATAATATTGCAGTGCTGTAATAACCATATTTTTACATC